ATAAGAGACAGAATTAACACAAAGCAGGTTGGACACAGACTGCTGTAAGCATTAAGCCATTTATTACTGTGACATCTGAAATTTAGTGTGAGTTTTGACTTACACTAAATTAACTGCTTTTAAATTTCTGCAGTGTGCTTATGGTACAGCATCACTTAAATGAGCTACTACCAGCTTAAAACCAGTGTTGACAAAGGTGTAAGACTAGAAACAGTCCTAAATAAACAACAAAAGAAAACCAAATAGATCACCTAGATGTCTTCAGTCAGCAGGCTCTGAGACCAAACAAACTTACCTACCCATAGTTTAAATGACATTTCTTTTTAGTGTTCGGCTGTTCACTTTTGCAGCAGTCAGTTGGTGGAAGAAAACAGAAAATTTATTTCAGCAGTATAGGAAAAAAATAATCTCTTAACAATTAAGTGATCATTTAGCAGACTAGATTTCAAATCTCTTAGTTCTACTCCCTGCAGTTAGTGCATTCTCCTCAAAAGCAAAATATATTTTGACCATCCTGTTCAGAGCTACTGCACCTTATGTGAAAGCAGTATTTAAGACTAAAGGACAGATTGCAACTTTGCCTGCACCCTTTTGCTGAAGCTGAGCTGTCCTGGGCAAATTTGTGACCCAGACCCCCTCCTGCACTGTTACTAGATTTCAGCCTTGTCAGTCATTTTGCTTGCTGATCTCCATTAGGCACAATGTAGAAATAGATCAGGGGAGAGGGTAGAGAAAGGGAAATTGGATAATATTGTGCTAAATATACTCTATTTGTAGCTTACACCCCACCCCCCCCAACCTTGTACTCCATTTTCTTAATTCATGAAGGATTTTCACCACACTGTACCAGCTATAGTGAAATTATTCCCAATCAGCAGCTTTAGAATTCCATGATAAATCACTGCCCTGAGGGGTATTGAACAACTGTAAAGAAAACAACACAGCTACAAGAAGCAAGGATGCTGCTGCACTAGTATGTTCCATCCTCCTGTCTCAAACTTATAATGATATGTATAAAAATAGAAGTGGGCAAATAGAAAAGCACAACTGAAGAAAAGCTCTTTCTCTGTCACTATAGAAACTAAAGACATATTCAACTCCACCAAAAAGGTTAAACACAGGGCCCTGACTTCATCTTTGACATCAGTTTGTTTCAAACAGCCATCACACTTTCCCCCCACCCCCTTTTATTTTTAAACTGAGAGACCACTAAATTACTGAAGTGAATGACAGGACCCACCAACATGATTTTGTCCTGTCTCTGTGTTGCAACTTCAAACCATGGTACTTCCTTTCCTGCAAATGTAGCTGTACAGAAGGCACATGCATAACTTACAGAGAAGGGACTCGACTCTAAAACAAGAAAAATAACAGTTTGGAGGGTAGTAAGTAGGAATAAAGATATCTTGGGGTAGAAAATGCCTTGAAAGTCACAAGAACTGTTTAACTGAGCTGTACCATTAGAAAAAGCTTTCCAGCAAGTCAAAACCATAAATATTTTTTTAATGCCATTAATCACCCTGATAAAATCATCACCAAGTGTCACTGTTCGGGCAGAGTGCCTTCATAAATACATTCAAGAACATTTGTAAGCAAATACAAATTCAGGAATTTGACATCTAGCCAGTCTCCAACTTGCTTCTGCATTAATTTCTCCATTAATTTGGTGATTTTTGTACAGCATTCAAAGTTTGAACACAGATCAATCCATTAAACAATGACTGGAAAAAACAATAGGATATGTATTTCATGTGATTTCTTTTAGAATACTGTCTACGCTAACAAAATAGAATAACTAATTCTTTCAAGATCAGAAAAATATTCCAAGCTGTAGTATTACAGCATATGACAGTCTGTAAACAAAAGCAGCATCACTTCACTCATGATCTTGTGCAGCTGCTTCTTCTTTCTGTTCACATGCTGCTTCATCATCTGCTTTCACCAGAGTAGTGGTTAACGAGCTCTCAATACTGTTTAAGAGCAGCTTTGTTTCTTGGTTATCCAGATCAGTTCCTAGTGTTGTTTCTGAAGAAATTTCATTAGGAAAAGCAAAAGAAGGTAACGATGGAACTGAAGGGAGTAGGTTGTCCAACTCGGGCTGCTTGACTGAGCCTTCAGAATACATAGTTACATCTTCAGGGTCCAAAGCTGGAGCATTGTCTGGAAAGTGGAAGTAAGTTTGTAAAAAACCCAGAAACTGTCAGGGTAACAGTGCCTCTAGTTACTGTATGTCTAGAAAAATCAGCTTGAATGAGATACCATATATAGGCACATAACCAGATTCACAACTGTCAAATACATGGGCTGTGTTTATTCAGTTCTCCCCACATCCAGAAAATCTGATGGTGCAAGCAGGTTTTTAAGAGACTATGAACCCTGTGGCATGCTGTATTCTTATGCTAGAGATGTTTTATTTTGTGTTACAACTCTTAGTCACCCCAACTTTTAAAAGGGAAAGGCATCCATAATGTGAAGATTATTTTTTTTTTAAATAGGCAAGTCACTATTAAGATGACTGCAATTCTGTTTTCACTTTACAACTGTGAAAACAAGCCTGTGGTACAAAAATTAATTTATGCTGATTTTAGAAATACCTACTTTTAAGGTCAGTTTAAATTTGGATCATCAACATTTTCATTTAAAGACACACATTCTACAATCTTATAAAAAAGCCCATCAGTTTTTGTCCACTTCTACACCTGATTTCTGCTATTTTTCCATGTCATTTTAGCCAATCCCCTTTCTGATTTTTCTTGAAATTGGCTTATTTCCAAAAAGCATGATATTGTTGAGCAAGCACAAGTTGATGCCACTCCTGAAATCAGGTCAACGGCCCAAAGGAAATCTTGAATACACTTACCAAAATAAGCAGAAGCGTCATTGTTCAACGTTAACTTTTCAGTGCCTTCTAAAACATCTGCTGCTGGCATGTTGAAGGAGGAAGATGAAGACATGCTGGATGCTTTTGTTAAGTTAGTGAGTTCAGGAAATGAAATACCAGACATATCTAGAAATCCTGAAGGAGAAAGCAAATATTACAGTACTGTTTTAGATATAACACAAAATTCTAGTTTCAAAAAGCTATGTTACATCTAGACTGAAGTCAGTGAAGTCCCTTCCCCGCAAATAAATTTAACTTAATGTTAGCTGACATCGGTGGAAAGACTTCTGCAGCACCCAAATTCTACAGCTCTGAAATCCAGTGAAGTCAAAAACTTCAAGGAAAACCAACCACCAACTCACAGTTCTGCATTTAAGTCTCAAACTTGTTTAAGACCTTCTTTGTTTACCTTTCTAAAAAATTGCTGAAAAAAAAGCACCTAAGAATATGTACCTGGATCCATAACTCTCTGGAGAGGGGGAGGAGGAGAAAGGGAGCCTTCTGGTGAATGACCACTCATTTCTTGATCTGTGGAATGATCCAAGTTCATAACTATTTCAGAGTTGTCACTCTCAGAAGTGGGTGCCAATAACGGAGTCTGGAATAACACAGTAGGAAGGAAAAGCATCTTTTTATATTGAAAGCTTCACCTGAAGACAACTTTCCTATGAAAGAATTCAGCCCCAGTCTCCAAGTACACCAATTCAGAGAGAACCTGTGATGCTGAAACTGATAGTCAAACCACTGATGAGGACATGTTCCAATGTAGCCTTTTAAAGCCAGTATGTTTTTAGAAGAACAGTCCATACTTAATTCTTGTAGGTGTATTTTATTTCCTAGTGAGCAGGGTGATTCTCATTGACCAATACAGCTGTAGTACACAGGTCTTCAAACCAGGAAGAAAATACCTGGCAAAAATTTTTATCAGCCAACACTGGTGATCTGTCATCTGCTCAGCATCATTTGCTCTCACTTTCCCTTCACCTAACTCCAGTTCATTCAAGCAAAGTTCTAAGCTGTACTCACATACACTGTATTATGAGTGCTCCAACAAGTAGAAAATTTTGTAACTTCAGAGAACATGCCAGAGTTACAAACTTATTTCTAACATACCTCTGTGTAACCATTAGTAGATGTTACAGGAATTCCAGCTTCTGGTAAGGGTGAGGGTGGTTTGCTTTCTGGCTTTTTCTTTGATATTATAGACTGGGTTGGAATTCTGTGCAAATAGCCATATCCAATACCACATCCTAAACTGTATGAGAAAAGTAAAACAAGACTTAGAAAAAAAGTGTTCTTAAGAAAGCTAATAAGCATTTTAAATTTTGACTCTTGAAAACAAAAACTTTCAGTCTTTATAGCAAAAAATACCTACCTACAAAAATCATTTCACTCATAGTACTCAAGGAACACTCTGCAATTGACATTTAAACATACATAGCTTAGCTTTCAGCTGATTGTATCTTTACAAATATATAATCTGATCTGATGTGGATTTTTTCTTGCTTTAACTGAATGACTACAAGAAGGTAGCTAGTGGATCTGCTACTGGGGAAGTCAACACAGGTTTTGCCACTGGTTTCAACTCAGGATTAGATCCAGAACATGCCTAATACCTAGCTCTAAGCTAGCTTTTTTTTATGGAAAGATGAACATTTTGTGTGACAAGTGTAAGGAAACAAGGCTTAACTTGAAAACAACAAGCTGTAATCAATAGTAATAATACTTTTAACAGGAGCTTATTTACAGTGGGTGTATAACCTGTCATTAGCCAGTGACTGTCTGGAGATCAGTACCTTCCTTCTCCACCCCAAGCTCCATTGGGAGTCACAACTACCTCTCGAATGGAATCTGCTTCAGTGCTATAAACCATCAGCTTCAGCGGCTTCCCCTCATGGGATTCAATCAATGAAAAGAAATCCTCTGACTAAGGGAAAAAGAGAGTAGTAGTTAAATGTGCAAGACAAGGAGCTGAAAGTAAGTTAGCATTTTACATAGTTATTTACTTCAACATGAGATATTAAAAACCCAGAGACAGACTCAAACTCACTAGTGTAGTTTGAACTTTAGGGGTAACGGGGTTTTTTATTACCACATTAAAAAAAAAAATTATGTTTACCTCAACCATAAAGCATCTATTAATCATCAACTTTCTCAAAATTCCCAAACATTATCCCCATACATTTGACATACACACAATTAGATTTATAACATGCACTTGGCAAGCATGAAGACAAATGCTACCCGAAGGCACCCTACCTCCTGAAGAATCTGATCAGATCCAACTATGTAGTCAGTGTACGGCTGGAGACCAGCGAGAGCTGCAGGAGACGCAGGTTCAACATCCTGCAAAAGAATGGTATGTGTCATCTGCACTCGCAGCAGGATAAGCTACCCCAAAATCAAAAGGGAAAATTCACTACAAAACCAACAGAGGAAAGAACATTTTGTTTATGGGATAAAACAGAAGTCCTTGAACAGTCTACATCTAGGTGCAACATCTTGTAAAACATGCTGAGTAAGAAAGACCAAGATGCTACCAATTCAACATGGGATACCCCAAAAGTGTCAAGAAGTTGCATTTATTTAAACAACCAGAACTGTAACAAACAGTCTTTCCTATTCAGTTCTACTCTTTCAGCTCTGTCTCTTAATTTTAAAATTAATTTTTGATGCTTTTTGTAACATTATTAATTTAATTAAGTTTAACCAATATAGACATAACAATCAGACCAGAATCTTTTTGCTTTTGCCATTGATTCTTCAACATAAGACAAAAAAGCCTTCTCCCCATCACACATTATTTGGTCCAGTCAGAATGGAGTTAATTTTTTTCATAGTGAAGGCAGCACAGTCACCCACTGCTTGTCCCTATTCAAAGAGCTCAGACAAACCTTCAAGACTGTGTTCCCTTCTGTGCCATTTCAACATTGTACTTCTACATACAAGTTGCTCCTAAACATTATACTTTAAAACAAGGTTGTATGAACACTAACGAGCACCAAAGAATTATGTCTCACCAAAACATGCCACACGTGTTCATTGGCTCCCTGGAAACTGCAAAACCTCACGCTGGCTCCAAGAAGACCTTGTCCTCCCCACATGTTACTGGGGATCACCTCCACCTCTCTTATTTTCATTGTTTTGATATTATACACCTCAAGCTTCACTGCTTTTTCAGCATTTGCCTTCAGCAGATCTTTCAACATATTGTTTTCTTTATTCTGTAGAGCACAGAAAGAGATACAGGATTAACATTATTTCTAGTTGCACCTATAACACAGATGTCAACGCTTGTGGCAAAATTTGACTACAAAGAACTAAAATCATCAAAGTTTACACTCTGTGTTTCATGATCAGTCCCAGCAGTTCGATTTTCTTTTAGTAGGAAGAAGTCAGTACTGTCAGCTCAAGTCCCTTTACATAAGTACTTACTGTTTCATCATTTACATTCCTGTTCTCAGCAATGATGCCTAACAATAAGCAGCAACATTTTACTTCAAGCTTCTGATCCCAGTCTTTATTCAATAACCCTTCAAAGTCACTGCAAATTGACTGTGAAAGGACAGACCATCTGGGAGCAGCATAGAGAACTACCATTATTTCTGTCATGTTAAAAAAATAAAGTGATTGTCCACTAAAAGATCATCTTTGATGATTCACCATTATAATGATCACTTCCAGGAAGACACCTCCACTAATAAAAGCAAGACAAACTTAACGAATTTAGGTTGTATGTAGCTAGAGTGAAACATGCAGCCAAAGCTGTGAGCCCTTTAAACAAACAAGCAAAAACCCAAACCAAAGTCGATATACAGCAACTCCATTCCCAGTCTTAAGGTATAAGCAGACAGCCTATGATTCTTTTTCATATTTTAGCAAATGCTGAAACAAGTTTGTTCAAACAAATGTTGAGCTCTTACCATTGCCTCACCAATTCAGTATTCACCTTGTAGCAGAAAATACGGATGAATGAGTAATATCATAAACATCGTGTTAATCTGTTAAGAAGCTAAAGTGACTAAATGCATAAATAAGCTTCTTTCCTCAAATTTGGATCCACAGAGAAGACTTTGAACACCACCAAGTTTTACTTTACCTTTTTAATGCCATATATAATGTCAAATATGAAAAGCCTTCTTTACTGCGACAGCTTTGGCTTCTACCTTTTATCATTACAATAACCATATTTCATGCAGGGGGGAAAAACAAACAAACAAACAAAACCCAGTAAAATCATTCGAGGCTTACAAGCCTAGTGTGTCCTATGGCAATGATGAAATCAAAGAAAGGTTCCAGTCCTCCTTGTTGAGCTGGGGAGTTTTCCTGAACCTGCAAAACATACATTTTATTTTTATTATACATTGATCTCTAGTTATATATTAAGTGATTGACAGTGTTAATCTTTACACTTGATTCAATATTTACTTTTGTGTGGAACCCGAGATGAGATACCAAATGACGGGCCTAGGGAAGCAGCCCGCAACTGTGAACTTATTTTTATAAAACTATGAACAACAGGTATCCAAATTAAGCTGTAAAATACAGGTTATGAACCCCATACAAGACACAAGTATTGTTATTCAGAAGGCACAGCATGGAATTATTAAATACTTAAGGCTCTGGAGAAAGGCTGTTTTCAAAATGCTGCTTCAGAAACTTCTTCCATGCTACTAATAGCTTAAGCACATTGAGAGTCCCCAATTACATCACAGCCATTTTTTTACATAAACACAATTTACAGCACATTAGAATAGGAACACTTAAGAGAGTATGCTACAAACGCATGGCTAACCACAAGTACTGGCCAAGAAGATTGCCATCACTTGCAACATCTCAATTTCACTCTAAGTAAGTGACCGTAAAACAGATGTAATAAAGAAATATTGAGGCTGCCTACTGAAATGCATTCACACCAGGATAAAACCCAACAAGAGGCACACAGAACTTGAGACACAGAATATACCCAAAGTATACTAATAAAGCAACATGACATTAAAGGGAACCATCGCAAACGTGCTAACAGTTTGCACGGCTTCTAACTTTACTTCTGGTTAATCAGCAGCACAGCCCTTAGCCTGCAATATATTTGACTCCTGAAAGCCACCCCACAATTTAAGTGCTAAGTTACAACCCACACATCATCTAAACTAAGAAGTTCACAGCTAGCAAAGTTAAAACTGCTATATCTTATATTTGGTCTTGTGTTAACAAACTGCTATATTTATATTTTTTTAAAAACAGATAAAGCATTATCAGTGTTGGAGCTTTTGCTGACATAACTGCCTATGCATGTTACAAAATATACATCAGTAATAGCATGGTTACGCCAGCAAAAGCTTTTAAAGCAAAAAAAGAAATAATGCTTTATTATTAAACAGTCAAAACTGACCACTGTAACCTCGATTGGAGTAGGAAGTATTAAATTTCATCACAATCCTAAATTACATCAAAAGTTAACAGCCAGCTTATAATAAACCAAAGGTTAAAAAGGTTAAAAAAGTTTACTCTAAATCCAATCATTAAATAACATGAAAGAAAGCTTACAATGAAACTATCACAGAACACAATGTCAAGGCTGAAAATGTACACAAAAAAAGGGACACAGAAGTTATTACAGAGCTCATAACATTGTTGTTCAGATGTCTAAGGGCCATACAGATTCCCACATGGAGCTGTAAGTTGCAAAAAAATCCTGCAGTATTTGGTTTTCAAAATGACACCATATCAAAGGTTGCATGAATTACTTGGAGAGAAGAAAAAATTACTTTGTCTTCTACATACTGCAGGTCAGCAGTACTCCAGTACAGAAAACTGAGCCATATCCTGCACCTGACGTAACAGGAGAAAGCACTGCATTACCAACAGTCATTTCTGATGGAGTCAACTCCGTTAAGGAGACTGACAAAAGCGGATTACATAACAACACTGGTACCCTAACACATCTTGTGATAGAGAAACACAAGCTGCTGATGAAGTGGAAAGCAGCATGTGGCAACTACGTTTCCACTCTTATTTCTGAGAGGAAGACGGCCAACTAAAATGAAATTATAACTTACGCAACAACTGTTATCTGCAATACCTCTACCTATCTTTAAGCTCCAAGATATTAATTTAAACCAACGTGCGTGCAGACAATTTGCCAGACAGTTACAACAAACCTGCATGTACAGAAGGTGCCTGCGAGAAGTAGCCTCTCAAGAAAACACTGGCTGGAGCAGGAGTTAACCCCCAGACAAGATTCTCTAAGATCCGCAGAGAGATTAGTCAAATCTTCTTCAAGCGAAGGGGATTTGGAGGGGAGGAGGCAGGGAGGGCTATACTCATTCTTAAACTATTTACAATTCTTCGGAAGCCGCGCAAAAGGCTCCCCTCGGCTGTCCAGCAGCCAAGACATCGCAGGTCGAGGCTCCGAGCCCGGTGAAACCGCCGGGGCGAGTGCCCACTGCCCGCCGGGCGCGGTGCGGGCCTCCTCCCTGCCGTCGTGGCAGTTCCCTGGAAGGAGCCAGCAGGTGGGGGCCAGGGAACCCGGG